TTTTTCCCCCTTTTTTTAAAAAAACCCAAAAAGGGTTTTTGGGGGGTTTAAAAAGGGAAAAAGGGGGGGGTTTTTTTTTTAAAAAAAAGGGGGGGGAAAAAAAAAATTTTTTTTTTTTTTTTTTTTTTTTTTTTTTTTTTTTAAAAAAAAAAATTTTTTAAAAAATTTTTCCCCAAATAAAAAAACCCCCTTTTTTTTGGGTGGGGGGGGGGGGGCCCCCCCGGGGGGGGGGTTTTCCCCAAAAAAAAACCCCCCCTTTTATTTTTTTAAAAAAATTTTTTTTTTTCAATTTTTTTTTATTTTTTCTTTTTTTTTTTTTGGGAAACCTTTTGGGGAAAATTTTTGGTTTTTTTTTGGTTTTTTTTTTAAAAAAACCCTTTTTTTTTGGGAAAAAAAAAAAAACCCTTTTTTTTTAAAGGGGGAAAGGAAATTTAAAAAAGGGGGGGGTGGGAAAAAAAAAAAATTTTTAAAAATAAAAAAATTTTTCCCCCCTTTTTTTTAAAAAAAACCCCTTTTCCTTTTTCCCCAAAAAAAAACCCCCAAAAAATTTTTTTTCCCTCCCCCCCCAAAACCCCCAAAAATTTTTTTTAAAAAAAAAAACCCCCCCCTTTTTAAAAAATTTTTAAATTAAAAATTTCCCCCCAAAATTTAAATTTTTTTTTAAAAAAAAAATTTTCCCCCTTCTAAAAAAAAAATTACCCCCAAAAAAACCCCCCCCCCCCCCCTTTTTTTTCCCCCCCCCCAAAAACCCCCCCAAAACCCCCCCCCCCCCCCCCCCAAAAAAAATTTTTTTTTATTTTTTTATTTCCCCAAACCCCTTTTTAAAAAAAAAAGGTTTTTTTTTTAAAAAGGGGTTTTTTTTTAAAATTTTTTAATTTTTTTTTTTTTTAAATTTCTGCCCCCCTTTTTTTTTTTAACCCCCAAAAAAAACCCCCTTTTTGGTTTAATTTTTCCCCCCCCGGGGTTTTTTAAAATTTAAAAAAAAAAAGGGAAAATTAAAAAAAATTTTTATTTTTTTTTTTTTTTTTTTTAAAAAAAAATTTTTTTTTAAATAAATTTTTTTTTTTAAAAAAAAATTTCCTTTTTTTTTTTTAAACATTTCCCGGGCCCCAAAAAATTTAAAAAAATTAAAAATTTTTTAATTTTTTTAAAACCCCCCTTTAAATTTTAAATTTAAAATTTTTTTAAGGGGGGTTTTGGGGAACCCCCCAGGAAACCCTTTTAAAAGGGGGGGGTTTTTTTTTAAAAAAAAAAAAAAATTTTTTTTTTTAAAAAATTTTTTTTTTTTTTTTTTCCCCCTTATTTAAAAACCCCTTTTTTTTTTTGGGTTTTTTTGGGGGGGGCCCCAAAAAAAAAAGGGGGGGGGGTTTTTTTTAAAAATTTTTAAGTTTTTCCCCAAAACCCCCTTTGGTTTTTTAAAATTTAATTTTTTAATGCCAAAAATTTTTTTTAAAACCCAAAAAAAATTTTTTAAACCAAAAATTTTTTATTTTTTTTTTAAAAAAAAAACCCCCCCCAAAAAAAACCCCTTCCCCACCCCCCCCCCCCCCCCAAAAAAAATTTTTTTTTTTCCCCCTTTAAAAAAAATTTTTTTTTTGTGTTTTTAAATAAAAAATTTTTTAAAAAACCCCCAAAATTTTTAAAAAATTTTTTTTTTTTTTCCCCCCCCCAAAAAATTTTTTTCCCCCCCTTTTTTTTTTTTAAAAAATTTTTCCCAAATTTTAAAGGGGGCCCCCCCCCTTTTTTTTTTTTTTTTCCCCCCGGGAAGGGTTTTTTTTGGGGGGGTTTTTTTTTGCCCGGGGGGGTTTTTTTCCTTTTTATTTTTTTGGCCCCTTTTTTTTTTTTTTTTTAATTTTTTTTTTTTTCCCCCTTTTTTTTTTTAGGTTTTTTTTCCCCGGGTTTTTTTTTTTTTTTTCCCATTTTTTGTGTTTTTTCCTTTTCCCCTTTTTTGGGGGTTTTTTTTAAAATGTTTTTTTGGGGGGGGTTTTTCCCCCTTTCATTTTTCCCCCCTTTGTTTTTTTTTGGGAAATTGTTTTTTTTTTTTTGGGTTTTTGGGCCCCCCCTTTAAAGGGTTTTCCCCCCTTTTTAAATTTCCCCCCGGGGAAGGGCCCTTTCCTTTTTTTTTTTAAAATTTTCCCCCTTTAAAGGTTTGGGGGCCCCCCTTTTTTTTTAAACCCCCCCCCCCCCCCCTTTTTATTTTTTTTTTTCCCCCCCGGGGGGGTTTTTAATTTTTTTGGGGGGTTTTTCCCCCCTTTTTTTTTTTTTTTTTTTTGGGGTTTTTTTTTTTTTTTGGGGAAAAAAAAAAGGGGGGTTTGGGGGAAAACCCTTTTTTTTCCCTTGTTACAAATTTTTTTTTTTTTTTTAAAACCCGGGGGGGTTTTTTTTTTTTAAAAAAGGTTTTGGGTTTTTTAAAGGTTTTTTTTTTTTGGGGGGGGGGAAAAAAGGGTTTTTTTCCCCCCCCTTTTTTCCCCCCCCCCTTTCCCCCCCCCCCCGGGGTTTTTTTAAAAAAGGGTTTTTTTTAAGGGTTTTTTTTTAAAAGGGAAAAAATTTTTTAAACTTTTTTTTTTGGGGGGGGGTTTTTTTAAACTTTTGGGAAAAAAATTTTTTTTTTTTTTAAAAAACCCAAAAAAAACCCCCCCCCCCTTTTTTTTTTTTTGGGGGGTTTTCCTTTTTTTTTTGGGGGAAAAATTTTTTGGGGGTTTTTGGGGGTTTTGGGCCCCCCCCCAAATATTTTTTTTTTTTTTTTTTTTTTTTTTTGGGGGTTTTAAAATTTTTTTTTTTTTTTTTTTTTTTTGGGGGAAAAAATTTTTTTTTTTTTTAAAAAAAAAGGGGGGGTTTTAAAAAAATTTTGGGGGGTTTTTTAAAATTTTTTTAAAATTTTTGGGGGGGGTTTTTTTTTGGGTTTTTTTTTTTTCCCGGGTTGGGTTTTGGGGGCCGGGGGGAAAAAAAAGGGGGTTTGGGGGGGGGGGGGGAAAAAAAAAATTTTTTTAAAAACCCCTTTTTTAAAAACCCTTTTTTTTTTTTAAAAAAAAACCCCCTTTTTTTAAAGGAATTTTTTAAAATTTTTTTTTGGGCCCGGAAAAAGGGGGTTTTTTTTTTGGGGAAAAAAAAAAAAAAAAGGGGGAAAAAAAAAAAAAAAAAAAAAAAAAAAAAAAAAAAAAAAAAAAAAAGGGGGGGGGGGGGAAAAAAAAAAAAAAAAAAAAAGGAAAAAAAAAAAAAAAAAAAAAAAGGGGGGGGGGGAAAAAAAAAAAAAAAAAAGGGGGGGGGGTTTTTAAAAAAAAAAAAAAAAACCCCCCCAAAAAAAAAAAACCCCCCCGGGGGGGGGAAAAAAAAATTTTTTTTTTTTTTGGGGGGGGGAAAAAAAAAAAAGGGGTTTTTGGGGGGGGAAAAAACCCTTAAAAAAAAGGGGTTTTTTCCCTTCAATGGGGGGAAACCCCCCCTTTTGGGGGTTTTTTTTTCCCCTTGGGGAAATTTTTTCCCCCCCCGGGGGTTTTTTTAAAAATTTTTTTTTTTTCCCAATTTTTTTTCCCCTTTTTTTTTTTTTTTTCCCCGGGGGGTTTTTTTTAAAAAATTTGGGGGGCCCCCCGGGGGGGGTTTTTTTTTCCTGCCCCTTATTGATGGTAAGTTTCGCTGGACTTCGGGACTCAAGCAAGGCATGAGGTGTTGCACTTATATGATGTAAGGGCCGATTTAAGATTGAGGCTCAGCAACTTGAACTGTTAACTGATATAAACCCAAAAAGCAATAACGCGTGAATATTCAGTTACCATAGCTGTTATTGCAAGGTAAAACGGTTAGGTTATTACAATACCTGGAAAGTGGAAGGGTTATATTATTACTGATGAGTGATGATGCTCACTATTTAGGAATATTAATCAACATTTTATCTTGCTCTCGCCAATTGTGCCAAATTGGTAAAATAATAGTGGATTTTGGGAAGATGACTACCCGAGGGAAAATATTTTATAATAATAACTTCTGTCAGATTTTTATCTACGATATTTAAAAAAAATTGTTTTTTTGCCCGATACGAACATCGCAAAATGTTTCATAGCAATATTCTAAAAAGATTTGTAATTTACTCTGTCTCGTACGTCACGAGACAGAGTATTCACCCTCCGCGTTGGAATGTGGCCCCTCAATGTGGGGCAATATCTTTCCTCAATGTGGGGCAATATCTTTCCTCAATGTGGGGCAATATCTTCCCTCAATGTGGGGCAATATCTTCCCTCAATGTGGGGCAATATCTTACCTCAATGTGGGGCAATATCTTCCCTCAATGTGGGGCAATATCTTCCCTCAATGTGGGGCAATATCTTCCCTCAATGTGGGGCAATATCTTCCCTCAATGTGGGGCAATATCTTCCCTTTGATAACTTAATCGTTGCTGTAGGTATCAACCTCTCAGTGACAGTGAGCATTTTCTGATACCTGCACCCCAGTTTGCGTAATACTTAGGAAGGTATCGTACAAGTCCCAAAAATCGTTTAAATGTACAAAACCTCTTGCAGGTCATTTATTTTTTAACCATTCGATCTAAAACCATTAAATAACCTATAGCAGAACAATTTCTCTATTACTGGTGCAACCACACCCTACCTCGAGGTCTGGTACTGATAATTTAGTAATTTATTTGTGCAAGAACGGTTCAATAGCTCTCATAATACCATTATCACCATACGTTAAAGCTATCATAATACCATTATCACCATACGTTAAAGCTATCATAATACCATTATCACCATACGTTAAAGCTATCATAATACCATTATCACCATACGTTAAAGCTATCATAATACCATTATCACCATACGTTAAAGCTATCATAATACCATTATCACCATACGTTAAAGACCCGCACCTGAGCCTGACTGAGACCATTGTTTTCAAGTTTCTTCTATTTAAAGAACCCAGCTGGTCGCAACACTAATGACAGTTATATTAACATATCACGTGACCTGAAAAGGAGGTAAAGAAGCTTCTAGTGTCAGCCTTTCAGTCGAGAGAGCTCACCATAAACAGTTCAGTGATCTAGGTTTTGTGAGCAGCTTTTTTTAGTGACAGCTGTTTTGAAGCATGTTTTTGAACTTGTTGCCGGCGTTACTACTTCTGACAGCGACTTTTGGTGGGAGTTTGGATAACAAATGGGAAAGTATGTAACTCTACTGATATAAACTTTTCAATTTGCTCAAAATAAACGCACTGAAGGTAGGCTCGTCTAAATGACTTACAGTATACACCTACAGTATATTATACATGGACAAAATAGACCTGCTTGAGCCAGGGAACGGCCCATAGCAGGGGAATCATATCCTAATTAATTAGCAAGTAGCAAGGATAAAAAGCATAAAAAATAGGTAAAAATATATGCCAATAATATACCAATATAAGAAGAATATGACAGAAAGGTCAAACTGGGTTGTTCCTTTTGTAACTGTAAGTGTGTGTAAGTCTATATGGGTCTTCATTCGATGGTCTTTAGTCTTCTTGTCACAATGTCATTCTAGCCTTTACTTTTGGCTTTTTAAAACGTAAAGTTAAGGGTGCGGCTTGTATGTGTCTTTCTGGTACTTAGTCTATGTATGAGCGAGGAATGTAGACATATTTAATACTCACACAAGGCTAGGACAGGAATATACCAGGAAGTTGATGGTAACAAATGTAATCTGTTCAGCATCATGCAACGAAAATGTAAATATTATAGTTGGGTCACTAACGTGATGCAATAACAGTGGATCAGAACCACATCATTGATTACTATAGACTATAGAGCAATATTAAAATAAGATCAGATATGATGATGCGATAGAACTTAGAAGCCTAAGTTTATGGGACTATTTCCTCAATTAATTCCACATATATTATCACAGTGCTGGCAAGCACGAGCGGTGTCTTTATTTGGGGTATACTATGTACCCCCTTTACTATTGTACCCCCTTTACTATTATACCCCCTTTACTATTATACCCCCTTTGGTACACATTGGAAGCCTCTTTCGTGCACGCGAAGCGTGCACTCCGGCCGGAGGCGGCGGCCGAAGGCCGCCGCCTCCGGCAGGAGTTTTTCAAGAATTATTACTCATCGGAAGTCGTTCAGCAGATTAATTTTCAGTTCAAAACATTCTAGTTTGATGTCAAAGATGACAGGAATAAAAAATAGTTATGTTGAGATTTTTAAGAAATTTGCATAAAATACTCGCCAGCACTGTTATACGAAATTCGGTAAAAAACCAAAATCGCCATATTCAGGTGCCTTAAAAACCATGTTAAAATTGAGTTAGAGATCTGAAATTTTTCAGGGCGTCTAGACGTTGACCAAATCGACTGCAAAAAAAGTTTCAGGTTTCAGGAGCATCGGAAGTGGGTTTTCTAGAACCCCTGTTTTACGACAGATTGTCGTGATATCTATCTATATATATACATATATATATATTCAGGGATAGACGCTTTGCCAGTCAATTGTAGCCTGTATTTAATTGTCCATAGATTCAAAAGTATAAAAGATACAGCCATTTCCGACCACAGGTCTTGAAAATAATTGTTTACACTTTAGTTTACATTGTATAAACAAATTATTTGACGTCATGAACACCCCTTGATGACGTCATCAAGTTAACCGTTTTTAAAACTTGATTTTTGACAAAGTAATAACTTTTAAAAATGATTTTACACCATTAAAAAGTAATTGTATTCAAAATCTGAGGAAATTTTCACCTTAGATAATTGTTCAAGCATTCTGAAAATCTACCGGAAAGTTTTTCTAGCTTGTTCCTTCATAAAGATATTCGTCATTGAAGTTTGTGCTTTTTTGAAGAATTATTTTATAAAAACGTCATTTTGCGATTTAGTATTCTCTGGTGTTGGGCCATGCCTTGGGTTGTGGAGCTCAGTTCTGCTTCCTATAGGTATAAATTGTGCATTAGGCTAGTTTTAAAGTTGAAAATCAAAAAGTTGCACACGTGGGGACACGCCCAAATTGATAGAAAATCGCTAAAATCACTGAAAATCGCTGTTTTCGTCATTTTCTGTCAACTTTAGAGTGCCGTTGTGATTACAGTTCTTGTTGAAATACTTTGAAACTTTGCATGCTTATCAAACTATATATAAAACAATTACATGCAAAAATTTACGGCATTTCAATATTGGATGCGCACGCAACGTCCGCTCAAAGTTTGCATGTGCGAAAGGTGAGAATTTTGCTCATTCGTGATTTCCAACAAATTCTGCTTTATCACGACAGTTTAATGTCATTATATATGAATTTAATGCCAACTTGAATGAGTATTAAGTGGCATATTCAGTCAGTGATCGACCGATATGCTTACCTAAACAAAAGAAAATGTTTTTAAAGGAAAAATTTCGAAATCGTTGAAACTTCCTCCTTATTAATGAAGATATCAGTTTATATTTCGACTTTATAATACCCTGACATTATAATCAAAAAGAGATGATATTTTACCAAAACCCATAATCATGGGTAGAGTGGACCGCTGCCAGTGTCTTTCTTTCCCAAACAAAAGGAAATGATATTAATTTGATTGACCGTTCTCAATGCAAAATGATACCGAGAATGAAATCGGTCGCTCGCTTTTCCCATTCATTTACAATTGTAATAGATTAAGAAGAACTATTCAAAGGCAGCTGTACTCGGCAATAAAGATTCAATAAACTTCAGCTAATTCAATAAGTAATAACTACCACCCTTACCCCGAAATACTAGGTATCGACCCGAACGCAACCCAAAGAGATTTTTACAGCATCTGATTGATGTAATCAATCGAAACTTATTACAATTCGTAAGCCGTGAATGAATGGGAAAAGCGAGCGACCGATTTCATTCTCGGTATCATTTTGCATTGAGAACGGTCAATCAAATTAATATCATTTCCTTTTGTTTGGGAAAGAAAGACACTGGCAGCGGTCCACTCTACCCATGATTATGGGTTTTGGTAAAATATGTATATACAGTATCCACATATATTAATGTATTCTACAAATTCTCCACATGTTTTGGAGGGCAAGTAAGAAGAACCATTCCATTCCAATGAAACTTCTCATCACATTGCCTCCCATCAGTGAATCCTATATTTAGACCATGTTAAATTTATCACTTAGTAATACGAAGTTGTTAAAAGCATACTAACACCTCTTTAAGTGTTTATGCTAACATTATATTCGCACCTAACAAGTTCTATAAGTCGACTAACGAGCTTAAGTTCCTATCGCTAAACGGACTTTATTGATGGTCCAACAAGTTTGTTATTTTTATTGTTGTACTTAATATAACACTAAAGAGCCTTTCATTTCCTCGCCCATTTACGTCATAATCACTGCTATAGTCAGTATACTATAAAAATGGCTTCACTTCAGTATTATATATCAGTCATAAGGGTTTCCTTTTTCTCTTGAGAGAAATCAGTTAGGATCGCAAACCAAAGGCCTATAATAATAATTCTACGCCAAAAGTTACAGACCTAATTATGTCCAGAAAACTTGAGCTGATAACGCGTAAATTATTTATTTTTAAGAGTGATGTGGTTTAAGTGCTGTAGTGAGTCTGGGGTACAACTATTGCATGTAATATAGGGTTTGCATTATCGGTCCCTAATGTAATAGGAGTTTCTCCAGAACTTATACCACTTAGCCGTGCATATGGTATTTATGCAATATGGTATTTTAAGGACACTTTTTGCCCTTAATGCTTCATGATGTCATTTCTTTTTTATTATTTTGAAAGTTTCAAATTGGATAAAATCATCTAGACTAATCAATAATCATTTATTCATGACCATTTTTTGCATGCCTTCGTCTGGCTATATCTTGATCTTGGCAAGTTCAACTTAATAGCTTGGAGAGTCTAGTACTGATACCTCGAATGATGGGCAATACCGTGTTCAAATAACTCTCCGATGTTTAAAGCTGCGGGTCAGCTTCGAGTTTGAGTGAAATTATCAATTTATAACCCTCAATAAACTGATATAACACCTTTTACGTGCAGCTTACAATTATTTGCGCTATCTAATCTGAAGCAGCTGCGGCAAAAGTGCTCAAGATGTTAACTATAAATTTATTTTGTCAATACTTTGACAACAGCTTTACGCTAGTTAATCTAAGTTGCATTAAACTATAGAGTTTGGACTGCTGTGGCAATAGTACTGACCAAATCGTGGTACTGGTAAAGCTGTGATCTATTTATCCTTTGAGCCACATTGCAACACCACTTTCTAACTTTATTAAGGCCCATTACCGAGGGTATATAAATACTCAATGAGTATCACCAACCCAAGTTTTCTGGAGTTATTTCGACGTACTGTTTTGCTGGCTCTTTGTCGTTTGTATGTCCATATTCTGTAAATTGGAAAAATTTGGGAAATCTCGCATATAATTATAAGGACTTGTACGAGCATTTGCGGCCGATTCCGGAACCACCATTTTAAGATATGGGGTGACATTCCGACGGCGTTGGTTAACCGACAAAAAAATTACAAGGGTCGAAAAAGTTGTAGCCCGCTACAAAATTGGACAAAAAACCATAAAGAGGCGGCAAAAAATAAGCAAAAGTAAAAACGACGATATTTTTCATTAATTTTTTAATTAGTTTTGTTTTAATTCATATAATTAATTAACTAAGGGTTGGCGAGACGGTTAAATCAATTCATATGATCTTTTGGAACTGCGATGCCTCAGTGACGTCTGTTTTGATCTCCAATCAAATTTTGTGCCACCAGGAGGGAATTAATTGTCAAGTTCACTGTTCAGGTTATATAGATGTCATGTTATAAACAAAATGAATGTCCAAATGAATGTCCAAATATAGCCTAAAAGTGAAAGAGCCGCCACAACGTTATATGATATCGTCGCTTTGTTTATTGCTCGTGGTGAGCCTTGCCCAGTAGTTTTCCTCAAAGGTGGTGTCGGTGAGGTGTTGCGTTTAATGCTGCGAATTAAAGTTCCAACGTAATTCATTGGACAGATTAATTAGTTTGATGGTTAAAGTCTACTGCTCGTTATATTAATTAGTTTAATGCTCGTACTGTATACCCCCAGCTAAATAATATTTGCTTGAAGACTCAAAGCCCTCAACATCAGACTGACGGCTCTATTATTACATTTTAGAGCACAATGAGTAGCTTCACAGTGTGCCTGATCGGGATCACTCTTGCTGTGTTAGCATTTGGGTCCAATAACCTTGATGGAAGTGAGAAACTGGATTTTTATATATCTACCAAAAGTTTTAGTGAAATGAAATGAAATTACCGCTGTATTGATGCAAAATACTTAAAATAATCAATGATTTTACAGCAGCTGATATTTTCTGCATTTAATGTCAATTGAATGACTAGCAGCAACATTACACGAAGGATTTAATTACGTAACTTAATATTTTGTTTCAGAATTCTGTGATATCAAAGTAAAGTCTAAGGACGGTTCTATCAAGTGCTGCAAGGCTAAAGCCAAAGGATACATTGTCCACGTTGGAGTTTGTGACGGAAATGAGATGTTCAAAAGTGTTATCGGTCAGTATCAGTGTTGTTGGTGTTATTTCAGTTGACTTATCTCAGCTTATATAAACATTTCTTATTTTCCTTTGTTTCTGCACAAAGAATTTGAAAGATTCATTGTTAATTGAGGACCAATTAACATAACTTATTTAACGTCAGGCTATAACGCGTTATCAGAGATGGTAGTTACACCCGATGAAGCGACAAGTGACCACAGTGCCAAGGAAGACAATCCCGGAAAGGGTACCCATTTAAGTTTCTTTCTTCAATTTTCAGAAAATTACACCAATATTCCGATATTCAGGTGCCAAACGGAATCTTGGCACCGTGCCATGCATGATATTGATATAAGTATTGAACTGAGGAATTCAAAACTTTCAAAACTTTGATGAAGCTGATCATTGATCAAAGCACATTTACACACATAGATTAAAACAGCTATAAAATGGAAAGACGTGATCGTTACCAAATTAGTAAAGTTGGTAGATGCTAAACAATAAAAATTAAGCGATAAACGTCCTCACAATTATAAACCCTTGTTTGCTCCAACTTGGAGCAAACAAGGGTTATATGTTGGCATAACCATCGACCACGTAATGGTTTCATCGACTGAAAGAAAATTCATTAAAACAGTAAAATCTAAACTTCTATGCACGAAAAGATGGCATTATGATTATGTAGCATAATTATTGGGCAGGGGGCTTGAATTTAACCAATCACTCTCACGTTATCCAGTCACGTGACTTGTTCTGCGGATTGGTTTGAATTGTAATTTTATTCCAACATGAGGAGTCTGCACTTGTATTGTGAATATAAAATGACATAATACATCTTTGCTACAGTTCAGGGCACATGTGATTCTACGCAGATCATGATCGGCTTTTGTCAATGATGGCCAAAACAAAAAGCTATCTTTATTAAGAATTTAGTAAATATTTTCCCCAAATACCTACAACAATACATATTATTTGTGAATAGCCGTGCAAGAAAAGACAATTTTTAAAGAAAAGACAAGACACATTTTCGTTTCAAATTAATCGATCACAGTCATACACGGCTATATCAATATACTGAGGAAATTATCTTTACTGAGAAAATTAGTGAAATACGCTCAATTAGAATTTGGAACAACAGCCACGAAAAATATTCATGTTTCTGAACCTAGATTGCATAATTTCTCAGAAAATGTTCACGATCAAGAATAAAATTCGGGGGACAACGAAAGCGACATTGAGCACACGATACTCGTCTGTTTGTCTCTTTCTAATTAATTCTCCGTAGCCACACAGCACTTAATACTCATGTAACCATTGTATAGTGTGTGAGGCTTGTCTCAGCATCTCATTCTATAATTTTATATTACATAATATTATATAATAATAATATTATACATATAATATATTATATCAAATTAGTTATAGTTAGATGTTGATTCAAGATGTCAATTCTTTGCAGCTCGGCGAGGCCCAGTGGTGCATTTTGCCGATCTACCGAAGTGGTTGCGAGAAAATTATTTGACGTGCGGCGCGGCCCAGTAGTGCATCGTGCTACAATGTTAAATGATATTATAGTTTGCAGGAATTTTATCTTTTACACACAATGTGTTGGAATGTTGTAAAGGTACAATATTGAACATTATGCTCACGACCAGCTCAACTAACCCCAATCTTCCTCCCATTTTATTGTAAACTTTTCTATGAGGATAATTATATATATCTATAGATTTTCATTTTGTAAGTTATTTGTTGTGTTTAACTCAACAATCGTGTAATACTACGTATAATACTACGTCAAATAATTCAATCTGAGAGTACCTTAATAATCTGAGAGTACCTTTATAAAGCTACAAATATGACGAATTGGTCAGCTTAAGGGGGCAGGGGGGGGGGGGGGCGGGGGGTCTTCGTGGAAATTAAGAACGCACAATAAGAACGATTTCGGATTTACCATTAGTATTAGTACTTTAGTATTATAATTTCACCACATAGCTTCAAAGCAAGTTTTTCAGACGAGGGTATTTGTCATGTGTACAAGACTTACATCGGAGGTGTCAAAGCTTGCATCCCAGGAAACATGGTCACAGCTGCCAAATTCGTTCATCAATGGCTTGGTAAGCCCATCTAGGTTCTAGGTTCTAGGTTCTAGGTTCTAGGTTCTAGGTTCTAGGTTCTAGGTTCTAGGTTCTAGGTTCTAGGTTCTAGGTTCTAGGTTCTAGGTTCTAGGTTCTAGGTTCTAGGTTCTAGGTTCTAGGTTCTAGGTTCTAGGTTCTAGGTTCTAGGTTCTAGGTTCTAGGTTCTAGGTTCTAGGTTCTAGGTTCTAGGTTCTAGGTTCTAGGTTCTAGGTTCTAGGTTCTAGGTTCTAGGTTCTAGGTTCTAGGTTCTAGGTTCTAGGTTCTAGGTTCTAGGTTCTAGGTTCTAGGTTCTAGGTTCTAGGTTCTAGGTTCTAGGTTCTAGGTTCTAGGTTCTAGGTTCTAGGTTCTAGGTTCTAGGTTCTAGGTTCTAGGTTCTAGGTTCTAGGTTCTAGGTTCTAGGTTCTAGGTTCTAGGTTCTAGGTTCTAGGTTCTAGGTTCTAGGTTCTAGGTTCTAGGTTCTAGGTTCTAGGTTCTAGGTTCTAGGTTCTAGGTTCTAGGTTCTAGGTTCTAGGTTCTAGGTTCTAGGTTCTAGGTTCTAGGTTCTAGGTTCTAGGTTCTAGGTTCTAGGTTCTAGGTTCTAGGTTCTAGGTTCTAGGTTCTAGGTTCTAGGTTCTAGGTTCTAGGTTCTAGGTTCTATGTTCTAGGTTCTAGGTTCTAGGTTCTAGGTTCTAGGTTCTGGGTTCTAGGTTCTAGGTTCTGGATTCTAGGTTCTAGGTTCTAGGTTCTAGGTTCTAGGTTATGATGACTGAAATGAATTTTAAATACGCTATTTCAACACCAACAGAATCTGACGGGATAGGTCAGTGCTCAATGGACCTTGGATACAACTGTAAAGGTGAGCCAGACCATGACACGCATTACGATTTTGCAATCAAACTGAACCTGGGAAACGCCGCTGCCAATTTATTTGATCTCAAGGAGTCTCTCGGCAACCAAAAGGACCTCAATGACAGTTATGAATGTAAAATCGAGGTAATTATATCCAATGCATCCACTTTTCCCATTTCCAATCAATATGTTTCCATCATTTGCAGTGAGTGCTAAATTACAAATGAGATTAATTTTGATAATCATACATTCACCAAGTTGATCCGATGCTCTGCATTTTTTCCGTTCACCCTTTTGTAAAAAGGCAATAGTGAAAGGTTACGAATGGACGTTTTTGCAGAAAAACGTGGATTTTGGAGATAGCAGTTGGTGGGTTGAAATATGGTGTCATTCCTTCCGTCCGTTACCATGACAACTAGCTTGCGGAGATATGATGTATATAGCTAGCCTGTCAATGAATGCGCGGCGCGAGTGTATATTAATGTATACTATGCTATGCATAGTATTAGGTTATAAGCCCAATTTGTGCGTGGCATGCGTAGTATAGTGTACTGATGTGTATCAATATTATTATCATAAAGTGAGCTGATAAAGTGAGTTATAATAGTGAACGGAAATCTAGCGTCCGCCAAAACGAAACAACGGGCGCAATTCTTGTTGTTGTTGTTGTTAAGGAACCAATTTGTCAACAAACCTTATAAGCCCAAACTGACAGGGATAATATGTCAAATTTCTAATTTGCCCCCTTAATTTTTTTGTTAACATGAACTAAATACCGCCTAACCACCTAAATCCAGGCTAGTGAGCTGCTGCTATGTGCGACTTCGTAGCATTAAGTAAATGTAGAGTCTAGACTTTCGTTACTCTCAGAATAGAATACAATACAGAAATAATTTATGATTTCTAATAATTTGTTTAATTTTCAGGTCAAAAACGGAGATTATTACGTTGTGTGTCCACTTTAAACGTGATCCGTGGACTAAACGCTGCATTCAAAAATTGGGAGAACAAATATAATTTTAATTGTCTGTTTTTTTCGCTTCAAATAGACTCTGCCTTTTGTGGTACTGATATATTGCTGATTATTTTTTGATTGATTGTAGAAAACGCTTCCAGCTTTAGATTTGATTAATTTGAAATTTATTGCATGATTTCTTGATGGTTAGTCACTTAGTTTAGAGTAAATGTGAAATTTTATTTTGTTCGAATTAGATTCCATACCTCAACAAATTAAAAATAATTACGAAAAATATGAATACAGCAAAGAAAATAGCATATTAATATAATTGATTAGACAGCAAAAATGAGTTTAAGATGCCATAGAAATCTTCTAACCAGCTTTAATTGTAGCAAGTCTCTCAGAAAACGAATATTTCTGAATATAATATCACTTTTTGGGTAAAATTCTGAACTACTGAGTCACTTCCAAAAATCATTTTTATTGCACAAACTATCTACCACTAACTAAAAGTGACAAGAATATAAAATAAATATTGTAACGAACAATTTAACATAAGGTTAATCGAGAATTGATAAGAAATGCTTTTTTGCTGCGACTATTGAACAAGACAGTGGGTTGAAGAAAGATGGTTTTATAATTCAACTCAATTCTCAAATGATGTCCATAAAGACAACAAAATAGTTTAAATTAATAATATCAGATAAAGAGGCCAAATGGAAAGATTCCCGTATAATTGAACTCAAGGGTTAATTAATAGAAGAAAGTGATGTAAACAAAAATAAAAATAAGCTATAAGTCCATGATATTTTCAATTTCAACTTGATGTTTCCCAAAATTGTTGGGATCGTTTTAATTTCACCAACTTTTCATTTCTAACAAATTAAAATGCAACCGTTACAGCCTTAACAATGTTAGCTGTGCCCAAAGCTAAATAGCTTAGGCACCATTTACCATGATAAATCTATTTTCGAGATACAAAGAGTCACTAACTATATTTCTACAAATAAACTTATACTACTGGAACAACTAAACTACTATATTAATAAAATTAAATTTCACTATTTTAACTCGTCGGTAAAGCTACCGAAATTTAAGTATTGCAGTATTTATTAAACAAAAAGTCGTGCAGCAACAGGGGCTAGGGTTACAAGAAGAAGAGGACTTGATGTGTAGAAAAGGGCCAGTGGCATTGCGCTGCTGTTACCACCTGCAATTAAAGGTTTTAGGTCTCACGTCGAAACAATAATTATGATGATTTGTTAAAGTGAGCTGATTTAGACGAGCAATATGTTTCTGGATATTAATTACTCAAGTAGGAGACGTAAGAAAAAAATATTTAAACCAAATTTAAAATGATCAGCTAAAAATAACGGTTCATGTGGGCTTACCCTCATCAGATCCGGAATCGTCAGATCCGGAATCTTCACTGTCTCCGTCTTCAGCCAGCACTAAGACCAGGAACATTAAAGATACGAGAAGCAGCGAGAGGGTCTTGTTCATTTTGAAGTTGGTTCTTTGCTGTATGGTTGAACTGGGTTAACGAATTTGACTAGTACTTCTGGTTATTATTGATAAACAGGAGCAAAATTAATATCTTAGTAAATTACTATCTTAATGCGGTAATATGTACCGATACAAATTGTTCCAACACTTGTCGCACTGTGCTATATTTTTCATTTCGTTCCGCTCACAAACATTGTTTATACTTAAATTCCTGATACTAAGGTCCTGTCTTAAAACTGAATATAATTTCATTCTAGGCCCTCCTAGTCTCTCAACATACAGGGTGGGCCAAAAGTCAGTACCCATACGTTGGCCTTTATAGCTCAGTCACTGAGTGCTCAATTTTAATACTTCTTTCTGGTATGACTTAGTACCACCACTGGTTCGAGGAATTTGTCAACTCGAAAAATATTCACGTTCATTTTTTTCAAATGGAGGTTCATTTTCACATTTATTTTATAGTTTGGATAGCCGGATGAAGCTAAATGTTATTGAATTGTGTTTGGCCATTCGAATTACGTTTGTCCTGAAAGAATTAGAACTGTAGCTTCTCAGATGACCGAGATATGAAGCATAACGAGTTTATTCATTACGTGTGATCAGGTGATTGGTTTACCTAATCACGTGATAAGGTGACCCCGTTAACTACCCCGTTAAACATTATGGGAATTGTTAAGGGTGCCCAATTAAGGTGTCGTGTCACGGTGTCACATAATCACCCAGTCAATTTTGTTAACGAGATACAGAAAATGCTTGATAAATTCGTTATTTCTTATCCGTTTTGCCTCATGTTTTCAGCTCATATGCAACATTTGATAATCTACCGTCTCTGAAAAAATTAGGCGTTCAGCATGTTCAGAGATAACAATACAGGTGTTTTAACATTGAATGGGTGTGGTCTAAAATATTCGAATTTTCAAATTTTGACGACGGAATCCTCGAACCAGTAAGTACAGTATGCCATCTGCAAAGCAACAGCTCTCAAATATAAAACACGGCGGAGCTATTAAGGCCAACGTATGGGTACTGACTTTTGGCCCACCCTGTATAAATTATCAGATTATATTGCAAAAGACAGAGTTGGTTGAGCAGGTCAGTTCTCTTCGCACATTACACCTCTTGTATAAAGTAATACTAAAAAACATATTTTTTTCCAAGGAGGGTTTAGAAAAGACTATTTTTTTGAGAAAAAACAGAAGGTTAGAAGGCAAGAAACGCTAAATGGTGCTGAAGGAATTGATCTTGTAGAGAGTATGGTCAATGGAATTATATTGTTCTTTAAATTAGCAACTGTTGGTATTTTAGGAATGTGTCAGATCATTGTTTGTTCATTAGCTTGCGTGGAGAATGTTTTGAACACATTTGTGTAAGCAGTAAGACTGCGTTCCCTTTAACTCAAAGTCTCTTCTGATCTGCAATTATATTGCTAAGGAAAGTAGAAACAATAAATATTGTGCAGTGCACCCTTGGTCCACAGAGAGCATCGGATATCTAATCAGTTTCTCAAACAAAGGGAAAACAAAGCCATCACATTTTGAAACTAAGGGTGCCTTCATCTCATCTGTGTAGGGGGAGTCCTTATCTTAATGAAGGGGGGAGTTCTTATCTTAATGTAGGGGGAGTTCTTATCTTAATGTAGGGGGAGTTCTTCTCTTAATGTAGGGGGAGTTCTTATCTTAATGTAGGGGGAGTTCTTCTCTTAATGTAGGGGGAGTTATTATCTAATTTGAACTTTTGGCCACCCCATGTTCAAAATTGTCCTCGAATGACATCTGCGAAAAGTGTTTATCTTTTTTAGAATGACGTTGGTAGGACCCAACTGTTTGAAATATACAGCAAAACGAACACTTTTTCGACAAAAACTAGTACAGGTATTTGAATTTAATAATTTCCATGGACAAGTTTAGTTTTACTCTTTTTATGCGAGACTTTTCTTCGGTGCTGGGACCTTTAAACTAGCATGCTGTTAAACTTTAAAGCAATCATCTGAAATCAAAATGTTCTTAATCATAACAAAAGCAGTGACTCAGTGAGAAGCAAGAATTTTGCAAAAGAAAGATAAAAAATCAACACAAGAATAAATGTGAGCGAACAGAAGAATTCCAATTTATGGGAACTATTTTATTCTGCGATTTGAATAATGAAAGAGAAAGCGATCACTGATTGTTGGAGAGTGAGCCAGAGTTGAATTGACCAACAAGAAGCTCAATAAATATGAAACAGAAACTTCTCGCATTCGACAAGAACTGAAGCTTTCAAAAAGGTAATGACACGTTTGCATTACTCAAGTCACATGGGTCCGACAAGCGTCACAATGGGTCAGAACCTCAATTAAGCCTTTTAGAATCATATTGAAGAGAGATCGTGCCCTCTAGAGTGGCAGGATAGAAGAAAGAATGACCTAAAGTAGTCAAATGAGCGGGTAAATATAGAGTTGTGAAGGACCTGAGGCGTCCCACAAAGAAATCACTTAAGCAGCAATATTAGTATTTTGCGCGATCCTCCGTACGAGAATATACTTCTCTGCAAAGAATAGGGGGTTGAGATAACTTTTCTCATAGGCTGCAACTGTTTATGGTCAAATGACTGCTAGATTGTCGGTGAGTCGAGCTTCTTGATTATTTTATTGAAGCGACCTTGTCACCTTTTGTAATGGAGAAGCTGATAGATTCTCACCGTTGGTTTCATTTTTAAATACGCCCAACAAGTTTTTAAATATTCAAACATTGACGCATTGGATTCAGTTTCTGAAAAGATCTGAATAAATCAGAAAATATCAGTGAACCCAAATTTGAGCGCTAGAAAACATATTTCTAGCTAGGTATTAAAGATTTTAGGATAAAACTAAAAGTTTCGTGTTATCCTTTTTTTGAAGAAAAAATCGTTTTGTTCAATTGCGACATAAATTTGCTTAATTACACACAAAAATCATGACTAAATTCATAGCAAATGCAATAACATGTCTGAGATTGTCACAAAATATGTTTAACTTTATCCATTGATTGGTTTATCATACACTTCATTTCAATCATCGAAAAAATACAGAAAATCAGGTGAATACAACAAATTTAAAAATAGAAATGATTCTAGTTGGAACTATATGTTTTTTGCTAGGCAAGCTAGCTAGCGCAAGAATGTCCAGACGAGAAAGCGTCGCCGCTGCAATGGCGTTTGGAAAACTGCATCATATTCCGTCAGTGCACCAGTTTTTGTAAACTTTAATAAATTTGACAAATTTGAATTTCAAATATAATGAGAAATGAAAATTATGTTGACAATTACGTTGTTGATCATAAAATTCAAAACCAATTTTCCCTGTTTTAAAGTTTGCCAATAAACTTCATATCAAAGCCGGTGCAAGTTTAAAATTAAATTAAATTTTTAAACGTTAAGGCGTTTTTTTCTAAAATTTGGCGATTTTAGTGGAATTCAGGGGGCTTTTATAGTAGAATCTCGACATTCAAATATCAAATTGTTTATCACGCTTGCACAGTTGAAGCTGGAGAGTATGAACATGAGACTTGAAACGTAGTTTCCCTACTGAAAATTTCAGTATCCTGTTTCAAAACCATAAAATACCTGAATACCACTCCTCTTAAGATCGCCAATATTAAATTTAAATATGAATATTAATATTACTATTAGAGCTCGTATTTCTAGGTTATACACCCCACTTGATCCCATTATAAT